AGGTGAGCTTGCTTGGTGTGAAGTTGCATGCCTGTATGTTGTGCCATGTGGGACTTCCATGACTGGCTGTGGAAATGTGGGTTATTAAGAAAGGACACTTCACGACTTGCAAGAGTATGACTGTATTTCTGATTAACGGACTTGAGTAAAGACTGAATTTTAAATGGAACTGATGTTGTTAGATGATTTCTTCAGCTTTAAAAATCTTAACCACAGTGCTAGCCAGCTTCTGCTTTTCTTTGAATCCTGTGAGTTTTCCTAAAACCCAGGCCTGGTGGTACAAGTACATTACGTTCCTGAATCAGTCTGTATATTTGCCATTAGTTTAAACAAAACTCTCTGGCTGTATTAATTCCTATGAGCTTAATATATATGCTGAGAAGACCAGAACTTCTCAGTATTTTTCAGCGGTCTCTCTGCTGTGAATGCAGTGTGTTTCAGAAAGTAGTCATGTTGGTCCTTAGAACATCAGGAAGTTTTCTACATTCTGTCTTGAAATTTGAGGAATGCACGGTACATGTAATTACTTTTAGCCATTAAGTCAGCCTATCAGCTATAGGAATCAATGCTCATTACCTTATTAAAGGCATAGCGTGGGACATGTGCATTCTTCATGCTGTCACTTTGTAATAAAATGGAACCAAGACAAAGATTTATGAATGATGAAGTACTATTTGCCCACTAGCTGCCAAAAGGGAGACTTTGCATTCCTATAGTCTGGATAATGGTCTCAATATTGTTAGCTAAAATTGTTATTTTATCCTCTGTCAAAGGACAGAGTTGTTGTTGGTTTTGTTTGGTTTGTTTTTTTTTTTTTTTCTGGGACTCTAAGTACAAAATTTAGCCCTATTTTTGAGAGTTAAAGGACAAGTTTCATGTTCTGTATGTCATCATAGCTTTTGACTCATGAAATCTGTCTTTTTATTGTCAGAAGTTGCATCTTGAGCCTAATAAAAGCAAGTTGCATCTGTGTTTGTGATATTCTACAAAAAATACTTATATTATGATGCCACCATGTTTAACATAACCATTCATATTTTGCCAGTAAGTATGAAAAAAAATGTGCAATGTTATATTTTGTGTACCATGGCTAAATGTTTTTTTAGTAATATGGTTGATAATCTGTATAATAGTTGCTACTAAACAACGTATTTCTAGCATATGGGATGAATATTATAGAACTATTTAACTGAATGGGTGGTAGGGTCTTGTATGTTTAAGTTATAAATTAAAACCCAAACCTCTCTGGAATTTAATTTAATCCCAGATTTCTATCATATAATCTCTGTGCTGCTACTGGGCTTCATGTTTACTAAGCATTTCTTGGAAGGACAACAAAACAATTCTGATTTAGGTCTAACAAGCATTGACTGGCAGGAAAAGGCATTATTCAAAAGTATAAATCTCTGGCTTAGTCTGCTTATGACTTCCTGAGTTCAAAGGAGTGACTTTGTAAAGCAAACTCAGAAAGTGAGGGAAGGTCATAAAAGCTACTTGGATGTTGAAGCTCATAAAATGCAAACCCAGATCACCCATGGGTGCTGAGCAACAACAGTTTCTGTTTAAACTCAATACTGGTCTGAAAATCAGAATGAATTTAGAAATTTGAAGATAATGGCCTGTACAAAGCAATGTCAGGTGCTCTTGTGAGAAGACACCCAGGTCAAAGTAAAAGAATTTCTTAAAGGGTCCTTAGCTTATGATGTTTTAAGTTACAATAAGCTCTTAGACTGTCATGCTTCATATATGTGTGTATGCTGCATTTGCAAATAGCAAAAGTGTATTGCAGACATTGACTGACTGCTGTCACAACATCATTACGAACCACTGTTGATGGTTAAATCACATTTATGACATGCAACAACATGGCAGACAGGTAGCAGATACCACTATTGCACTCCTTCCTTGTGCATGTAAATGTAATAAACATAACCTGCTTATAGCACAATCTGTGGTCATCTCTCCTACCTTGGTTTACTTTCTGCCAAAGCAGGTAACCCAGGTCAGAGAAACTTACCAATTCTTTTAACTCAGTCAAAGTATTTCTGAGGTTCAATAAAATTTTAATTTTCAGTTTTCATCTCTGTAGTGTCTGTTATGTTCTGGTTGGGATTCCAGGACAATATGCCTTGTAGGACCCAGTTTGCTGTGTATTTGGAAAGTCTGTGAAGATGAGCTGGGTCCTAGCATCAGAATATTCCAATATCCCATGTTGAATTTTTGATACTTACCCTGTCCTTTCCTCCTTGATTGGCTATGCTGCACCTCTGTCTGTTCTTAGGAACAATGTATCAAGCTATTAATCCTTAATATATCAATGGCTCTTATACTGTATAACTTGTTTTCTCTTGACAAATACTAGTTGAGTGATAAATCTTATCACTGTGAAAAATGTTATGCCATTTTAGAGAAGTGGGCAGAGAGAAATGAAGTAACAGAGGTAATATATAATTTTATTGTTAGACTCCCTATAGCATTCCACTTACCACAACAATCAGACATTTTCTTGCTCTGAAAAATTTGTTGCCGTCTTGCAACATGTTGCAAGAAGAAGAATTATAAAAAGCTTTAATAAAAAAAAGTCAGGGTAAAGTCTTAGATTTGTATAAACTCATGATTTGCACAACTTCTGTGTATTTGCCCAATATTGCTTTTCTAACTCTGTAGCAGACCTTCATAAAAAGCATACTCAAAAGCATCACTGCATACAATAAACACAAAAAATGCTTGATCCTTCCTAAATACAAGCCTTGTTTGTTATTTGCAAATTGATAAGATGTATGTAAGCTATTTCTGTTCTGTTTCTCCCTGCTGGGACCAAAGACACAGCTCCCCTTCGCGGCATTTAAGCCTCAAAGTGACAAATAAAATGGCTCTTTCAACCATGGAGGCACAATTACAACCAGCCTTATGCTTTTGCCTTCAAAGAGAACAGGGAACTTTTGCTACAGCAGTCCTTAAAAGCTAGCAGCATAGCATCCTCTACTGCATTTGTGCACAGCTCCATAAGACTTGATGTCCACACAGAATGAAAAAGTGGTAAAGCACCTTTCCTTTATGGCTGTTTATGCCAGCCTGGTGCTTCGTGTGTAAAGATAGGGTTTACACATGGCAGATACTTAGTCCTTTGGAAGTTATATATATATATATATATATAATGTTCAGGGTTTGCTCTAGAGTTTATTTCGTTACCTATGGAATTCTAGAGGTTGAAAATGAGGTACCTCAGGATGGTATATAAGCAGATGGTTAGGCAGCAACTGATTGGGAGTTCTGAAAATCTGCTTTTTTGCAGTTAGATGTATGAGTGTGATTTGGTGGCTTTTATTGTTTAAATCCTTTAGTTTATCCAGTCCAAAGTCTGTTACCAATAAACAGTACTTGACTCCAAACCTGATACTTCCCTTAATAACTAGAAAAAGATACATTCATTTCTGTCTGTCTAAATACTGTGAAGTTGGATCTGCTTGCTTTACATATTTACTTGTGATCATGGATACAAATAGCCACATGAATTACAGTTAAATAAGGTCAGATCCCTCTGATATTCCTACCCTTTGCAGGAAGAACTGGGACCAATGCCAATACATAGCTCTAGTGGCAGGTCTCTGATATGCTGTAAGTGCTCTGTCAAAAAGGTTTCACTTAGAAAGTGGAGTACAGATTCCAAAGGTTATTGTGTTTATAGTTAAGACACTGGTGCTTGAAAATCTATATATTTAAGATCATCAATCAGATACTCTTCTGTGTTCATATTTAGCAGAGCATTCTTACAACAGCTTGCCACACATCTTAAATGTTGGAATTATAACACATGCAGGAAATAGGCAGAATTACTAAAGCCTGATTGCATGAAATAGATCTTAAATACAAAACCAATACAAAGTTTAAGCAGTATTTGAGCCCTCAAATAATACAACACAGTTTTTGTATAAATCAAGCTGATGAGGAGGAGTTACTGTACTACTCAGCATTGCAGGTTTGTGGCAGCTCTGATTTCAGCTACAGTAGCATATTTCAAGCTGCATATAAAATAAAACAAGAGTCCTTTTGTTCTAAGACTTAATGTCCAGTCTTGAAATAACATTGCATACCAACACATCAAAAGAAATTACTTATCATTCTGCAAGTAACAAAGAAAAAAAGAAAGCAGAAGTCCATTTGAAAGAAGCAGAAATATTTTGCCAGGTGTTTGAGGAAGATACAAAATGTAATCATATGTGAATTCTCTTACTGAGAGATACAGGTTCTGCACAGAATTAGAAAGGCAGCTGGATCAAAACAACTTCTGCCTTAAAACTCTGCACACAAGAATTCAAGTCCAAACTTGAAGTTTTGCCACTGATTCCTGTGCACTCGGTTTGTGGCAATGCATTAAGTCCTGTTTCTGCCAGCTGAGGGTATGGTCTCATACCTGTTGACAGCTCTTGCTACCTTGTAGCACAAGGTAACACGCTTGTTTTCAGATACTCTGTCCTGCGCCCATATTGCATGGGAAGAATTTTTTCCTCTCCTATTTACTGATTTGTTTAATTGGAGAACATTCAGCTAAGGGATTTCTATCTGTCTGCATAACTATACATTGGAGAGTTTCAACTCAATGCAAACCTATTGATTACAAGGAGTAACAACTGCTTATCATAACATCCTGGTTTCTTAATAGTCACTGAGCAAAGTCTCTGGCTCCAGAAGTTAAACTGAGTTTATGGTTTGTAGGTTTTGTGGACAAAGAGTAAAAATACCACATGTGAAGAAACATGACTCTCACTTTAGTGACAATAACTGACAATACTACCTATGTACATGTAGCTTGGCTTCAACCTGACCTGGATTCCACTTGTGTATTTTCATTGATCTCCTACTGATTAGTTGGAATTTCAGCTCCATCTCTATTGCCCATGCCAGCAAGTGGGACTGGTATCTGACATCTGGCTTTATTTCAACAGGAAATCAAAAGCCTCCAAGCATATGCATATTTCTGTGGAAGTGTACCTGCTTCTACAAACATGTTTTCATGTCCATCTTGACCTTGTGAATGAGATACTTTGCAATTAAGGTATCAAAGAGCTACTGAAGCAGAAGTGACATCTTGCTACCAAGACCTGGAACAACTCCAGTAATCCAACTGCCTTGCACAGTCATGATATGCAGTTTTAGCAGAGTTTTGTGACTGACAAGAAGCAGAAATTGCAAAGTCAAGCAGACTCGTTTCTATGTAGTTTTACAACTGTTTTCCATTTGCTTAAATATAGCACTCAGCATCATCTAAATGCATTTTAAGAGTAATCCACTGAGTAACATTTTCATTTTTCATCATCCCTCAAAAAATAAGTAGTCTTTACATACCAGGGTCATTGTTCTGTGTCCCTACTTGCAAAGGAAATGGCTATTATCTAGCCAATTTGACACAGAGAGAAGTTTCTTATGAACATCTAGTTGTTTGATGTGAACTAGATCTGCTGAAAGATTACTGTTACCTAACGAATGGGCTGTGAGAATTGGTAAAGAACAAAAATCCATATATTTACAAGTCTCTGTTCCACTGGTGTCAGCTGTGCATAAAAATCTAACACTGAAAAACTGGAAGAGTCTTCTCTAATACAGCTTTTGGCTGCCTGCAATGATGAAACTGGAAGTCTGGATTTCTACTGCAACCATGGTGGAGATGTGATCTTAGCTGGTGAAGCCCATGTCAGACTATATGCAGCCACAGCTTAGTCACTGATCTCTTAGAGCAGTCACATATACATCAGACCAGTCTCCTCAACGTCTTTACCATTTTAACAACATGAAAACTTGTGTACCATAGGAGCTACTGTATACATTCATGACCTTCCTTTGCCTGTTCTTCCAAAAATCAGGCAGTAATGGGTTCCTCTTCACATCTCAGCTATGGTATCACGAGTTGTTTTTTATACCTGCAGGTAATAATTGGTGCGTAGCATCAGGGCACCCCTCTGAAATGTTTACTAGTAGCTAGATAGAATTATGCCTGCAGTTTAACGTCAGTGAGCCCTTGGAAATTTCAGTCTGCATGGTGGATAAAGGTAAATGATCATATTCTTCTATTGATGCAGTTACTGAATTATGCTGGCAGCTCAAAATCAATGACTTCACTTCTTTTTTGAAGTTGCTATTTAGGAAACCATAGATAACAGGGTTGACACAGGTGGAAGCCATAGCTACCAGGTGGCACAATGAGAAAATCAGATTGTGGTGGCAAGGTGAAATGATTTTGTAATTCCAGTCCATGATGGTGTTGAAAACATGCAGTGGTAGCCAGCAAACTGCAAATGCAGCAACCATGGATGCTAACAAAATATTTATTCTTCTCAGCTGAACTGCTCGGTTGCTATATTCACTTTTCTCAAACATGTCCTTTCTCTTCTGTAGACGTAAGTAGATGCGCAGGTAGCAAAGTATAATGAAGAACAGTGGTATGCAGTATTGCAAGAGCAGTAAAGTGGTAGTATAGATAAGTCTCTGTTGCTCAGAAGGCCACGAGTCAATGCAGATAGCCTTGTCAGTGGAAAAATTCAGGATGTGTGAGAGCTGCTCATACAAATCATTAGACAAGATGGACGTGGTCAGAAAGGGCAGAGACATGAGACATGCCAAAGTCCAAATTACTCCAATTCCTAAATAAGCTTGGGAGATACTTGGCCTCCAGCCAGTTGGGTTTATGATGAGCTGGTGCCTTTCCAGAGCAATAAGGACAAGGGAAAGGATTGACACTGTCACAGATGTGCACTGAATGAAAGAGGTCATTTTGCACATGACTTCCCCAAATATCCAATAGTCCATCATGGTGTAAACAACGGTGAAAGGCAGACAGACAAGACACATAAACAAGTCTGAAATTATTAAGTTGGAAATTAGGATGTTGGTGACATTGGCCTTTTCCTTCTGTCTGGCAATGACAGCAATCAGACAGATGTTTCCCACAATGCCTAGGACGGTCTCCAGGCTGTAAGAGGTGGCCAGAAAGACAGTAAGGTCAGTGATGTTCCTGCACTGATTAGAAATGTGCACAGGGAAGCTTCGATTTGAGCTCGAGTTCTTACTGCTCAGGAAAGGAAAGCCCTCATTAACAGCCTTTGTCTTATTCATCCTGAACCCCAAAATATTTATCCAAAAAAAAATGATAATCAAAAAGAATCTGGGTCTTCTCTAGCCAGTCCAAAAAGTGTTTTCTGTGTTCTGTTCAGCTGTGGAAAATCTGGGTTTATCTGCAAAGGAAAAGAAAAAAGATTGCTTAGTTATGCAATTAGACACGAGTTAAAAGGGAGTGGGGGGGAGACAGGGAAACACACACCAGGGATTCTGTGTATATTCTGCTACTTCCATTTATATAGTTCATTAGATCATAAAATGGAAGCCTTTGCTTCTGTGCAACTCTACTGGATTATGACTGGTTTTACTCTTTGTAAGGATGTTCCATGGATTTAAAAACACCTTAAATTCATCATTTAATTCAGTGCAGTCCCTTGAACATCTACATGCAGTAGAGTGGTGATTCAGGAAACCTGGATTAAAACACATTTAGGGGAAAAAATTGGTGATTGCAACTGGTGTTGGCAATTCAGAACTGAGCAGAAGACACATTGTGGGGCTGCATTTACCTTCAGCTGAGTTAAACATCAATGTGAAAAGGCATATTAGGTGCATAAAGCCAACACTAAAACGTCTTATGTGAGTTAATCTGTAAAATGCATTTGTGACAGCAGTCAGAACACACATTTCCTTGAGACAATCACCATGCAAAAATTCAGGCTCATATCCTCAGGAAGGATAACGTGGGACAATTTGATGAAGTCTAAAATAATTCAGAATCATTTCAGCACTCTTCAGCTTCTGCACAGCTGTGATAGGTCATGGGAACTGCAGTCCAAATTTCCTGCTTTCTAATCCTGGATGAACTCCAGTGCCCATGAAGCACTAATGTCTCCCTCTGGGTGTCTAATATGGCCATCACAAGGTTTGTCAGAAATATAATCCAGCTTCCTGATTTTGGCTCTAAGAGTGGATGATTTTGACAACATCTCTTAGTTCCTTGTGAGAAGCTTCTTATTGATTCTCCCTCAGCATAGTTTTGGTTTTTTTTTAACCAATAGAATTCATGTGTTGTAACAGTATGTGCCATCTCCTGTTCTTGCACAGGTGGATGGGTCTGCTTCTTAACCACTGTTGCAAGCCCTGAGCTGGGACTTTCAATGAGGTGTCAAGGAGCTAAACCTATAGAGTTAACAGAGGCTGCACACTTTAAGAACCTCAGCCACAGGAATGGCTGGACTCTGCCAAATAGCTCCTGGGCTGCTCTCATTATCTGCCATAGACTGCTTTATAATCCTGACCCTGAAGTCCAAATGGTCTATTTCCAGGAATCAAAGGGAAAAAAAAAGTCTGACTCTGCTGGGAGTTCTCCTCAGACCAGAGGCAGTTTTGTGCTGTACAAAGGTTTGTAATGTGAAAAGTAAATAAATACTTTGGGCACAACACAATTTACCCATTGCATGACTCTTTCCTCAGCAATAAAATGCCACTCAAATAAGTTTGTGGGGTTGTGAAAAACTTCTGAGCTTCATAAAAACAAGTGGTCAAGATATGAGTGCATAAATAAAATGCTATAGTGAGCTTATCACTTTGTTTTAGTACCATTTATTGCTGAGCAACTGCATGTGTAAAGGTAACCAGTACTGTACAAAAAAGCATCCCTCATCCTACACTTTTTTGTTTGTTCGACTTTCTTGTTATGAATTTTATTGTATGCTTCTAGAGGTGTTGCGTCTTAGAGACTAACAAAGGCAATAGTATACAGTAAATAAAAAGATATTTTGGGATTCTTGTTCTTGCTTGATCAGCAAAAAATTAGAACAGTGAATTCTTTTGTTGTTTGTTAGACCTCTTGATTTATCTATCTCTATCCCTCTATCTGAGACAGTCAGGATAGTCACATGAGGAAAATATAATAAACTTTCTTCCTCTTGGTCTTTTCTTTCCTCGGTAGTTTAAATCTTAATTAAAGAAGGCAAAGGAAAATTTCCAAATTGTAGATGTAAATATGAATCTGTCCACTCTCTTTTGTCTTGTTATTCAAACTGTGTGAACAGATTGATTTTTTTAATGTAACTAAAAGAAGCAATAACGATTATGTATAGATTGCATTGTTACATATGAGGAGGGTATGTTGGTCTGTTTTGGTATGAAAATTGGTATAGAATAAAAAACCATCAGCCAGCCCCTTAGCTTTTAGTGATTGCTGGCCAGTGGAGATGCTGGAAACAAAACAACGCAAAGGGATACGTATCCCCCAGTATTGTTTGGTACTAGTCAAAGGAGCTCTGTCTTGGCATTTGGACAGGACAAACAGACTCCACTGTAAATAAATACACCAGCTTTTTACTACAGTCTAATCCTGGTGTCCTTAGCTACAGTATCCTCAACAACAAACACATGGTTCTCTTTGTTGCTTGAAAAATGTGTGCTATTACAAACATCTGTGCCACACAAAGTAAACCCTGTCAAGGGTCCCAGTCACTTTTGAACATGCTGAGGTGTCAGTGAGGTGAGGTGAACTATAAAGTTGTAGCAACACAGAAAAGAAGTGGAGCCACCAGAAAAGCAGAATCCAGATCCCAGAGCATTAAGGGGCACATTCCCAAGAAGAATGCCGAAGGCAGAGCATGTCTATGTGTTTGTGGGAAATGGCAAACACTGTGGGGGTAAAAAGCATCTCTGAAGGCTCAGCAATGCGTTTTGTTGGGTTAAGAGCTCACTCTTTTAGCACCTTGCATTCCATGGTGTCCTCCAAGAGGTAACTGTCAAGCACTTCCTGGACATTCATGCTGCTGGTACTGCCCTAAGGCAAGTAAGGATCACCCTCTTATCACAAATAAGAGAACAGAGAGAGGTGAGGTATGAGTTTTCCAGTGTTTCAAGGGAACCTGTGGTGCACTATGCAGTACATAAAACTGCCTGCCAACTTGATGTCTTGGGAAAAGTCAGAGCCTAGGTCACTTAGGTCCATAGTTCTCTGTATCTCTTATTCCAGCAACCATAATATAAAAAGTAGTTATAGAAAAATAGAAAAATAAATGCTGCAATGACCTTATGCACCCTACTATGGTCTCCTCAGACTGTAGATTCTCAAGGTTAGTCGCTGCCAAAAGCTGTGTTATCCCCAGGTATTTGAGGCCATTCAGTTTGGTCTAAATTAAGAGCCAGTAATAAGCAGTGTGTAAGCATACTCTGGTTAGATATCTGAATCAAATGTTAACTTGTATTCTGAATCACCAATGTACTGGGAACAAAAGTGTTAGTCACCTCACTGTATCGAAGGCTTGTCAATTACCCAGTAAAATATAGCAGAACTTTTATTGGCTAAAAAACCCCAGACTTTTGTGTCCAGAAAGTGAAGCAATACTTTCTTGGGCTGTAGGAGTAACAAGCATGCTTTCCAAATCAGTTTGCTGAGTGCAGGGAAAGGTTGGATTATTTTTGATACTGCTTGTTTGTTTTTTAAAGAGGAAAGTGTACTCCTGTTCAGAACCCCTGATGAACTTTAGGGAAGAGATCAGTAACAAAAGCTAAGATGATCAAAATACAAGGGTGTTTTTCTCTGATGCAGGATGAGATCATTTATCTAAAAAGCAAGTGTCACAAAAGTCTGAAGCAAATTAACAGGATACAGAAGTAAAAAGGAAGGAACTTGCAGATTTCTTTTTAGTGTAAGTTAAATTCCCCACTCACATCTTTTATACACATTTATAACTCTGCTGTGTTAAAAACAAGGAAGAATAGGCAAGGTGTGAAGGGTTCGTCTTGCTGAAGAACACAGCCTTCTGAACTAACAAATACAACGCAGGTTGTCTGAAAAAGAAGGAAACGGACAATCACTAGGCAGCCTGAAAGCCTTGTTCCAGGGGCTTATCCTGCATTTCCTAGGAAAATTCTTCGAAGTAAAGGGAATTTGAAGAGATGGATCTGCGAAGAAAATGAAACACCCAGTGGGTTTCAAGGAGACTGCTGAACAATGTAGCCCCAAGCAGTTAATGCATGACTGCCCTTTTGAAAGAGCTCTGGATTCAAGACATCCTACGAAAACCTCTGTATAAAAGTGCAGGATAAAGCAAGAGACTACTACTGATGCTGTGCTCTATGTACTCACTGGGAAAGGGTGTATCATTCTTGCAAAGCTAATCACGATCAACCCCTCCCTGTAACAAAACCAGCCTCCACACCTGTCTGTGGTGGTCAATGTGTACCAATTTTGACATCAGATATAAGTCTAAGAAAAAAAAGTTCACAATTTTTGGCTTCATTATCTGGTACTTAGAAGCAGTTGCTTAACTGGCTTAGAACTTGACTGTTCGCTCAAGTCATGTTTGCTGCCCTCAGACCATAAGACTTCCTGAGAGAAGTGATTCCTAAAGACATGAAGTAATTATGTTACTTATTTAAACAGTTATAGCAATTATCTGGAGTACAGCAGCTGTTGTCTTCCTCTTAGAAACTAGAAAAAAAGTAGCAGTGGAAAGATTTAACAGAACTCTGAAATTCATATTGCAGGTGTTAATTGAGGTAATGGTGATAACAGTGGTATCCCCTTTTCACTGGCAGTGATGTTCTGTCAGTAAAATAGATTTGCCCTGTTTAGCCTTATATCCTAGAGAAAGGTTATAAATCATCTGGCTATCATCACAGGTTTCCAGGAAGGCAACACTGAACTAGAAGAGGAATCCTGCCACCAAGTATGCACAGGCATCCTACAGCAATTTAAAATGCATAAGGGATTTTGTACAATGAAGTTTAATGGTGGTCTCTCCATCTTTGTTTAACTCTGTGTTACAAAAATATTGTAAGCAACTACCTTAGGTCACTGAAAAAGCTATATATGTTAAAAATTTCTAAACCCTGCATAATTTAGGGTATAGAATGACTTGTGTGTATTAACATGTTACAAGTCTATAATATTGGGAGATGGTATATATGCCTAGGAAAGGGAATATTTTCCCACCCTCTCACAGCTTCATATTTTCAGAATGAAACCTTTTAGAGGTTATGAACTTATGAGATTTGATACTGCAGAAATCAGGGAAACTTTACAAGAGCACCTACTCCAACTTTTTATTTCTTGGTCAAATTCCTAATAACCATACTAAAGATACAGAGCCAGTTAAGAAGGGTAAAATGTGACTGGCAAAGGTAAAATGGTCAGCAGACTAGA